AGTCTATCTAAAAGACTCCCAAATTGTATAACTCTTATCTGTAGGGAGAAAAGAAAGTCCTTGACTGGTGAATAGGAGATGTGAAGAAGAAGTAAAGGCAACAGTAATTAGCATTACAAGTTTTAGACAGGGAACTAGAAAAAGGTCAGAACAGGGCAATTTTCAAATGTTCATATGAGAGTCCATTGGAGTTTCTTGACAAGGACTTCCAAAAGCATCCCTCTATTGGGTTCTTCCTCATTTTTCTTTTGTCTCCTAAGGCTGGACTAGTTGGCTCGAAAGAGTGGCTGGTTACTCTGGTGAGGGTCCAGTGACCTTGCTTCTTTAATGAATGAGCACAACCGTCAACAAGCCCAATTGTGACTGTCTTTGGCAATCAGGCTCAGCAGAAGTCATGATGATAGTTATTTCATGAAGAAGGGACTTCTGTATAGCATCATCTTATTAAAAGGACCTGGAATTTAAAAGGATTTGGTGCTAGGAGCCACATAGGAGGGAGAGCATATGTCATTTGTTTTCTGAGTCTGTGTTACTTCACTTAGTATAGCAGTTTCTAGATCCATCCATTTACCTGCAAATTTCATTATTTTATGTTTCTTTACTGCTGAATAGAACTCCATTGTGTAAATATACCACATTTTTATTACACTCGTCAGTTGAGGGACATTTAGGTTGCTTCTATCTCTTAGCTATTGTAAAAAGAGCGGCAACAAACATGGATGTACAAGTGTCTGTAAATTCTGATTTCTAAAAGATCTCCATTATCCAGTATTCTGAGAATGTTGATTTTTATACTTAATCTGATTCTAATTATTTAGAAAGAGTAACCTTCACAAAATGTGAGAGATAAATACATTTTCTCAGGTGCTGTGTTTGGGATGTCAGGAGTACATTCTAAAGGCTATTTTGCTTGTGTATGGTTTACTCCCATCCTACAGCTGTTACCAAGTGTACCCAGTATGGCCTAGATCAACCCTGCTGAGTCCTATAGTTAGACAGAACTAGTCTAGGAAGGAGAAACAATTTCAGCAGGAAAAAATTTTAAAAATAAGAAAAATGGAGAAGGAGGAAAAGGGAGAAGGAAGAGGAAAGAAGAAAAAGAATAGTTGACCTCCACTTAAGAGCAACTGGGAAAACCTTTAATAGGAAGGGTGAGAATTCTTTCTGTAGCCTAGTACTTAGTTTTCCAGTGATATGGCATAACTTATACCCTGACTATATGTTTACGACTTGAGTTTCTTCAGTTATTAGCTGCCTCTTCTGTCATTTTCTGTTCTCAGTATTAGGTTATACATTTCAGAGTTCAGATGACACATATAAAGGAGACACTAAGAAAAATTTAGGTTTTTGTTTTAGTCATGAAATAATCAGACAAAAAAACAACAACAGCAGCAACAACAAAAACTTTAATTTTAAACTTACATTTGGGTTTTGAAAATAAGTCATTTATAATTTGTAGTACTTCATAAACTTTTGCAGGTTAAAAGAATAAATTGGTAGCCAGGTGTGGTGGCACTTGCCTTTAGCCTTTAGCCTTTAGTCCCAGCACTCAGGAGGCAGAGGCAGGCAGATCTCTGTGAGATTGAGGCCAGTCCATTCTACATAATGAATTCCAGGCCAACTGGGACTACAAGGAGACCCTGTCTCAAAAAGACCAAAGAGAAAAAAAAGGAACACATTTTTTTTCCCTTTAGAGATATTCATTAGAATGTGGTAATTGATAAGCTTTTACTGTGCCTTTATATTGGCATTACTTTTGCAGTGAGATATTAGCTTACACATCACCAGCCTACATGCGTTTCACAGGGACTAGTGAAACACCAAACTGGGGAGTGTGGTTTTTTTTTTTTTTTTTAATCCAGTGTCCTTGGTCATGGGCAGCTGTATTCAGGTACATCTGTTACATTCTTTGCATGACTGTTTTCTATATTGTTTTTAAGGATTTATATTTTTATTTATGTGTATGTGTCTGTGTGTAGGTATATCTACATGCATGTGGGTGCCAAAGGCATTGGATTCCCCCGGAGCTGGAATTGTAGGCATTTTGAGAACTGAGGTACAATGTACTCCTGTCGCTGAGCTTTCCAGCCCTGTTCTGTTTTTTGGGGGGGCAATTTGTTGTTTTGTTTTTTAAGACAGGGTCTACCCATAGCCCAAGCTGACCAGAATTCACTATGTAGACCAAGCTGGCCTCGATCTCATAAAGATCTGCCTGCCTCTGCCTCCCAAGTGTTGAGCCCTGTTTTATTCTTAATTAAAACAAAACAGCCTTGTAGAAAATTGCTTTTAAATTTACTTCATCACCCAGTTACTTCCTTGGACAATTACTTCCTTGGATTAATATTATTCTGAACTAATTTTCCCATTGTAGTGAATTTTATTAATTGACCTTAGTAGTCTAGCACATCTTTTAAGTTTCAAATTAAGCATTCAAGTATGTATTAGGGCATTGTTAACTTTAATCTATAAGGTAGGTGCCTACAAACCAGCCCTGAGGTTAAGAATTTCTTAATGTACTAAAAGCTATTTAGTTGGATTTTTAAGTTGGCTTGCCGAATAACAAGTGAAATCTCGCCCATTATAAATGTATTTTCTTGAGGATGATACAGGTACTTTCAGCATGTTCCTTTGACCCAATTCTTTCTTTGCCTTTACATTACACAAACAATTTTATTGGATTTGATTACACTTTGTATGGGTTTTTGGTTTGGGTTTCTTTTTCTAAATTTGACCAGATTTCTTGAGTCAAATTAAATAAAATTTTTAAAAAATTTTATTTATTATTTTTATTTTATATGTCTACGTGTATTGCCTGCATGTAGGTAAGTGTACCTGTGTTGTGCAATGCCCATGGTAGTCAGAAGAGGCTCTCAGATCCCCTGGGACTGGAGTTACAGACAGTTGTTAGCTGCCATGTGGGTGCTGGGATTTGAGCCTGGGTCTTCTGCAAGAACAACCAGTGTTCTTAACCACTGAGCCATCTCTCCAGCCCCAAACTAAATAAATTTTAATAAATTGAAGCTTTTCTTCCTCCAGGAACAAAAGAATCTTCCTCTCTTCTGTTTTTCTGTTAATTCACACCCCCACTCCCTACACCTGCTCGTGAAAGCTAATAGGCTAGTAGAAACATCAGAGTCCATAGAGCTAAAATTTATTTCATTTACAGAATATTCTTGAAATTTGAAAGTTTTGTAACACTAGTAAAATGACACCATAAACAGAAATGTAAGATAGATAATGTGGGAAAATATGTTTCCCATTGGTGTTGCAGATAAAGACTTGATATTGGTAATAGAAAAATAGCAGCTCAAGCATAGTCATGCTTGTTTATGGATATCTGTTTAGAACTAGAATGAAAAAGTAAGTTAGTTCCTATTCTCAGGCAACAGAATTTCATTTTGTACTTTGTACATTCTGGTATTGGTGAATTTTGTTCATTGTTGTTTTCACCAGAACAGTATAAAGTAATAAAGATTGCCACTAAAATCTAAAACTCCCTGAAGCTGATGTTTGTTTGGGGATGATCTGCGCGGGCAGACAGAAAACATTGTCTGCACTGTTCGTGCCTACCATCACATGTCAATTTGAATTGAGTTTAACACTAGAAACAATATTGTAGGGGAAAAAGAGGAAGTATTGTCTAGAAATTTCAGCTGAAAGATAGGGCACATGAAATACTGGCTCAAAAATAAATGCTAAATTCTACGGGTTCTGCCACCAAAGCCACTACTTGGCACATTAAATACTGCGCAGGAAGTGGAATCCCATATTGTTATAAGTTAAGACTTTAAGTTGAACTATATTTCATGTCTTACCAAACTGATATGTTATTTCCTATAGATTTCCAGCACCTATCTGGAAAGCAATTGGCCTATACGGGTGAGTTGTTATTTTCTTGGTGTTGGAGTAGTCATTCTGGGAGTTGAGCCCTTGTGGATTCGTAAGAGTAAAATTTTAATCCTTGATCTGCTGGGCATTGCTAGTGGATTCACATGTATACATTTGTGACATATGACTAAATACTTGAGTTTTTTAATTTAACACTTTATATTTAAATCACTTAGCAAACATTAATATTATGTTTACCTTATATATTATTAAGTGCTTTATACCTAGTAAAGTGTGTATATTTGCAAGAAAAATGTCTTAATTTTTTTAAAACAGTTTTCAGCTATTGATAAGCTTGGACAGAATATTGCTGTGGTTGGCAAGTTTGGCTTTGCACACTACTCTTTACTCACCAAAAAATGGAAGCTATTTGGAAACATTACTCAGGTTAGTCTTTTTTAAAATAAAAACCAGTTTTAAAATACAAAGCAGGAAAGGGGAATAAAATGATACTGGGCTAAAGATGTAGCTCAGTAGCAGAGCACTTCCTAGCATTCAACAGATCCTGGGAAAGAGAGAAAGGGAGGAGAGCCTGACTTTGATAATGTCTATAAGCCAATTTTGAAAAATACTCGGTAATTTGATAAAGGATCTTATATTGAGATAGTTGTGTTTTTATTCTTATTAAGATCAGCAATAAGGACTAGGGAGATGGCTTAGCAGGTAAAGTGCTTACCACAAAAGCAAAAGTACCCGAGTTTGAATTCCCAGTACCCATGTAAAGTGCTGGGTGGACATGGTAGCTCACCTGTAATTCCAGCCCTAGAAGGTGAAAACGGGTCCTTGGAGCAAGTTGGCTGGTGAGACTAGCCAAATTAGTAAGCTCTGGCTTGGACTGAGAGATTCCGCCTCCATAAATCAGGTAGAAGAGCAATTAAGGAGGATTTCAGACATCAAACTCGGGCCTTGACATGCACACATACACACAAACACACACACACATATGACAGTCACTTGGCAATAAAAAGAAGAAAAGGGGGGCGGGGAGACATCAGTAACAGTAATGTTTATCTTAGGATTTAATATTACCTTCAAGATTGAGTTTATCAGATGTGTTGAGAGTAAATTTCCACAAAATTAGAGTTTGCTCTGTGTGCAGTATATTATGTACTTGGGTGGCAGAGAGAGAGAGAGAGAGAGAGTTAGATTTTACAAGAGTCATGGAAAGAAGAAAATTAATTAATAGTAGGTGTGTTTTGTATATGAGGCACTTTAAAATGCTTTTATAAAGATATTATCACATCTTTATAACAACTCAGTGAGGATACTAATGTTACTAATGTTAATGTTTGGTAAAAGAAAAATTGGGATACGATCTCTCATCTGATGAAGGAAAAGCTGGAATTCCAGCCAAGTTTGATGGGCTAGAGGGATGATGGTGCTATATGGTAGGAGTTATTTTGAGTGATACATTTGTTTACTTAACAGAAATATTTTTTAAGATAGGATATGCACCATTATTAATAAAGGCCCTGAGTAATAATTCAGGAGAGAGAGAGAATACAGCAGAATGACCTGAGCTTTCTATGTCTGCCTAAGAATACCTTGTTGCTTTCTTATAATTTTGAGTAACATAATTAAGATAAATACATCTTTGCATTTTCTTTTAAGGAACAGAATATGATTGTGACTGGTGGCTTAGCCTGGTGGAACGAGTTTATGGTCCTTGCATGTTACAGCATAAGCAACCGTCAAGAAGAGGTAACTTCTTTTTTTTCAGAAATAATACATCTAAAATTTTAAAGGTAGCCAGGCATGGTGGCACATACCTTTAATCCCAGCACTCAGAAGGCAGAGGCAGACTGACCTCTGTGAGTTCATGGCCAGCCTGGTCTGAATAGTGAGTTCCAGGCCAGCTGGGGCTACAGGGAGACCCTGTCTCAAAAAGACCAAAATTTTTAAAGGTAATAAGCACTACTAAATTGTAGGTAGAAAATAATCCATTAAAATGGAATAAAACATCTTTTCCAATAATTTAACATTTTATACAGAAGAATTACTATTTTAGATTATTACTGTTCTTTACTAAAGTGACAGAAGTTGCAAGATAACTTTTATATCACAGCACACAAGAAGCTAAGGCAGGAGGATTGTGAATTCAAGTCCAGTCTGGTCTATATAATAAGACTCTGTCTCAAAAACAAAACAAAAACCTTTAGCTGTTACTATTCTCTATAAAGTCTGATAATAATAAAATATAGTTAAAAGCAAAAAAAATTTTAAGAACAGCTCTTCTTTTTTAAAGAAATATCTTACTTTTTATTTTATGTGTATGAGTGTATTGTCTGCATGTGTGTAAGTGCACCCATGTCGTGCAATACCTGCACAAGTCAGGATGTCAGATCTCCTGGAACCAGAGTTACAGTTGTTAGCCACCAAGTGGGTGCTGGGAATTGAACCTGGGTCCTCTGCAAGAGCAGCCAGTGCCCTTAAATACTGAGTCACCTTTCCAGCCCCTAAGAATGGCTGTTCTTAAAGACAAGTTTCTTAGTGTATTGTTTTACATGATTCTTTTTGAGGAACTCCTAGTCTCATTTCAGGTCTAAATGCACATATCTGAAAAGATTTAATAATTGCATTCACAGTCTGATCACTTCATCTTTGGTATTTATAAAGTTAGCTTGCAAAACTACAAACATAACTCATTTTTTGGCTAAAACTTAACTTCTATTAATAGAAAGGTCTATGGATAAAAAATAGCATGACTGAAGTATTAGGGTTCCCTGTAGCCATCTCATTTTCATCTGTTCATTTCTTCTTCAGCTCAGAGTATACCTGCGAACTTCAAATCTGGACAATGCCTTTGCTCATGTCACCAAAGCACAAGCAGAAACATTACTGCTTAGTGTCTTCCGGGACATGGTAATAGTATTTAGAGCAGACTGTTCAATATGCCTTTACAGTATTGAAAGAAAAGCTGATGGGTAAGTTGCACTACAAGATAAGTCACTTTTGCTCCTCTTCTCTTGTGCCCCCTCTTACATTTTCTCAGAAATTCTTTTCCCATTTTCATGTTTTGTTTTAATTACTGGTCTTTTTGTAATAGCTGTGAAAAAAAGAGAAAGAGGAAAAATAACCCGCATTAACTACTTGAACTTGTCTTCCCATGTTATTTGGGGAAAAAATATCTAGCTTTAACTGAGATAAATCTTAGATATTTTTTTCACAACTTGAAATTAAGTGGCTAATAGCCATCCTAGTTTTCAAACACTTGGAGAAATTTAAGGAATTCCCTAGTTTTAAGGCCTTAGGAAGCATATCGTTAGTAAGCCATTTATGCTCCCACTGCAGTGAACATTGTAGTCTGCTGCAGAAAAAGACACAATTCTGCAGCTGCTACATGCAGTCTTATATTATTGGCATCTGGTGAGCTTGCAGCATGTAAGCCACACCTCTTAGATTTTATTTTGGTTTTGTTTTGTCTTTTTATTTATTTTTTTATGTTTATGAGCATATTGCCTGCATGTATGTATGTACAGCCGTATTGTGCAGTGACCACAGAGGTCAGAAGAGGACATTGAATCCCCTGGAACTGGAGTTTCAGACAGTTGGTAGCTGCCACATGAGTGCTGGGTATTGAACCCGGGTCCTCTGCAAGAGTAGTCAGTGCTCTTAACTGCTGAGCCATCTCTCCAGCCCCAGTGGATTTGTTTGTTCTCAGAGCTATGTTTGTTTGATAAGGACACAAAGTATAAATTTACTGAAGTGTGGTGATTAGATAGTAATACAGAGATAAAAAATTAATACGTATTACTGCCTCAAAATAAAACCTTCACCCTTTCACAACCAATTAGTTCTTCACCACCACCCCCTCCCCAGAAGTACTTACTTATATAGCTTCTTCTCTGGTGGTGTTTTTGGGAGTGTTTCTCTGTTGTACCTTTGTTTTTCCTTCTTTCTAGCATCTTATTTCCTTTCTTTGTCTTATTTTTATGTATGGTTTTTGGGTCCCTCAACCTCACTAATACTGATGGAAAGATATTTAGGGAGAAGACAACAGGTAGAAGACATTTGGGTTTGCCATAAACAAAATGTGACTATAGTAGCTGGGAAGGAAAAAAGGAAAATGATCTTGTTAATGTTGCTGAGCTATAGTGTATTTTGGTTCTTTTGTTTTGTTTTGTTTACAGTTTGAATACTACTGCTGGTATTCAGGTTCTTCAAGAGGTCTCCATGTCACGCTACATTCCTCACCCTTTCTTGGTAGTCTCTGTCACTCTGACTTCAGTGAGCACAGAGAATGGAATCACCTTGAAAATGCCACAGCAGGTACTGTTCCATTTTCAGAGTGCTTAGGAGTTTCTATTTCAGTCTTTCATGTCTTAAGTCAGCATTAGAGACTATTTGTTTAGCAAATAAATACTATTATGCTATATGAAGATACTGAGTTTCAGTGGCAGGCCTAACAGTCATGGTTTCTGGTCAACATTAAGCAGGTAATTCCATACATAATTGTTCTTATGATATGTATACTATGAGAGCATAGCACCAGGACTCTGACACTGTCTGAACAGAGAAGTTTGATATTCCATTTAAATTGAAACCTGATAGGAGGTGATGGTCTAATCAAAGAGGAAGAAATTGAGGCAGTAATGCAGAGGCCTGTAGATAAGATGTAGCATGACAACTCAAGGAGCTGGAAGAATTTTAGCAACTAGAACATGAGGTATGCAAGAACGTGAGTCCTCAGAATAGTATTGGTAACTTTAGACTTTCATTTCAAATCTGGAGTGATTTAAGGTAGATGTTTTGAGTTCTAAGCTGTGTACTGTTTATCTTATACAGAGGAAAGTGAAGATGGGGCACAATTTAACAAAGTGAGAGCATGTGGGAGGCGTCTATAATGGATCGTAGTGAATATTAGTGGCCTGAACTTGGTTAGGGAACAAGCATGTGGAAAGAAATAAAATGAATTTAGAAGGTAGGGGACTTCATGAGCACTTATGAGGGAAGAGAAAGTACAATCCTGTAGTTTGTGGGTATAGGATCCAGGTATATAGCAGTGCCACCAGCATACAGTTGCATAACTTTCTTTTCTAGGATTGCTGCTCCTTCTCGAGTGTGTTCCAAATTTGATGTCAACTGGAAACCTTTTCTCAAAGAAAATTCTATAAAATGTAGATTTATCTTCTCTTATTTTCCCCATTTGTTACTTCTTTTTATATATTTTTTAATTATTCTTATGTGTATGAGTGTATTGCCTGTTTGCATGTAAGTTCAGCTATGTCGTGTAATGCCTGCAGAGGTCAGAACAGGGTGTCAGATCCATCCCTTAGAACTGGAGTTACAGACGGTTGTTAGCTGTCATGTGGGTGCTGGGATTTGAACCCAGGTTCTTTGCAAGAGCAATTGGTGCTCTTAACTGCTGAACCATCTCTCCAGCCCGTTACTTCAAATTTAGGTACTTCCATTACACCCATACAGTTATGGAGAATTCAACACTTTTATTAAGAGCCTCTTCCACCGTAGTTATAGTTGTTAAAAGCTAACGTTTATAAGGCTTCTGATTTGTAGCATCCTGTCTCATTTCTCTATTCTATGGAATAAGAAATAATGAAAGCCACTTAACTACATGAGAACTCTAAAATATTTGCAGCTAGTTGTCATTCATTGGCATTCTGTTCTCATACCTTTCTTTGTAACATTACATTTGCCTGTCAGATAGTCTCACAGTACCACCCACCTCATATTTGTTCTGGACTTGTTAACTTTCCTCATCTCCCTTCTGAACTTAAGAAATTGTTTTCTTCCTTACAATACAACTCCAGTTCCATCTGAAAACTCTCATATAACCAGAGTTCTAGTTAATATGAGAAAGTTCTGTTTTACAAAGAATTATCAGTGAAAGAATTAAACAGGCTGTGAGAATGAAGGACTCACCATTTTATAGCCCAAGAAAATAGCTGATTCAGCAGTGTTCATTATTATGCAAAATCTTACAGGGAAAGAATCCAGTCATCACACCAAAGTGTGTCATTCACCAATTGTAGTGTCATTAAAAGTAAGGGAAAACAGGTGTGGTATGTGCCTATAGTGATGTGATAGGAAATTCTTGTTAAGAACTATTACAAAAACTTCAAGCCTAAATGGAATCAAGTGTCTAGAAACATCTTCCTTTCACAGGAATTATAGAGATAAGATTGTTTTGATTACACCAACAAGAAAAAAGAAGCTGGGCAGTCTATAGGATAGCTCTGAGTGAATAATATGGGGTAAAAGGAGAGAATTCTAAATTAAATAAGATTTTTGAACCATAGCATCCAAATGCAATATTCGTGAGCTAAATTTATGGAGTAAATTTGGTAGCTGCCATACTGCAGAAACAAGCCAGTAAGCTCATGTGTACTCTCATTCAAACAGCTGTTAAGAGGCACTGTTGTATAATTAAGAATAAATATGAATTGAGAGAGAGAAACAACTTGTTTCATTTACCCTTGTGGTTTTAAGGCAATGCCCATATATTTTATATGTGCCAGATACAGTGTTGATCAGTAGTATCAGTGGATGGGGTCTACCAGTTTAAGAAGAGTTCACAAAGAAATGTTTAACTTAGTGAAAAGCCAGTTAAAGCTGCAAGCACTACAAGGCAAGTATTGATTTGATGATGATCATTAAAAACAAGGAACAATGAGAATGATTAATGAGAGTGGGGCTCATGAGAACAGGCTCCTTGTTAAACTCTGGAAACCCCCATGGAGAATCATCCACAACAGATCTTGTAGGCTGGGAGATGGTGTTTTGAGTTCTTCCAAATCTAGGATTTTGAGCATATAGGTTGCTTTTAAATGTTTTTTTTTTTTCTGAAAATCTGAGTACTATTGCAATCACCTTTAATATCGTTAATAGGAAATATTGAAAGAGTAGTTAGTAATAATCAACACTTTTTGAAGAAAAGAGGTGTATTTTTTTAAAGAAGTATGTGAAATATAATTGTGAAATCAACCATATTAAAACTTAAGATGCGTGGCTAGATATATTGCTCAGTGGTAGAGTACTTACCTGGCATGCACAAGGCCCTGGTTCCATCTCCAGCAAATAAATAAATAAATTAATTAAATAAATAAATAAAATCGTGAGTTGGTCTTTATGAACATTATTCATATTGTAGTAAGTTTTAGCCAATTCTTTCCAGATCTTTGGAAATATCTGCGGAGGTTGTCCATATGCCAGGCCCAGATACCCACACTGTCTTAACTCATGTTTGCATGTTCATTTTTCTTTGTCCTCTGCCACTCAGCTACATTTTACTGTTATCTGAGTGCCTGACTCTTACAATTCCCAAGACTCTTAAATTCCATTTTCCATCTCATTCCTCTAAGTTATTCAGAGTTTTTTCATTTTTTTTAATTTGTTTTTTTTTATTGGATTTTTGTGTATTTCATACAGAACATCTCAATCGATCTTAGTCATTTTTATACCCACGTCCCCACTGGCACCCTCCCATAGCCCCCCTACTGGAATGCATACATTCTGTTATTTGTGTTAATGCCTATTGTGTTGTTAGTGTCCCCAGACGTTCCTCAGTGCAAGTTCATCTACTGAGGTCTAGTCAGCTTATCTAGAGTCTCTCACTTTAGGAAGGTCAGCTCTTCCTCACCTAGCAGTAATCAGTTTCCAATATTTCTTCAGCCAAGATTGGGGTCTGCTATCCATTTCCCCAGTTCTGTGCTGGGTTTTTGTCTCCTTGAGTTTGCATGGGACTTTTGTATGCTGACACCATTGCTGTAGATTCATATGAACAGGGACCCAGGAGCTTGTAGGACTCTATTTCCATATGGTTGTGCACCTCCTCCCTAGCTTTTACAATCTTTCTATCCCCTCTTCTACAATGTTCCTTAAGTCCTGGGTGGGTGAAGTTTAATACAGGAGTCCTATCCAAGGACCCACACTGCGTTCTCTTAATCATTATGCTTTGGCCATTAGTGACCTTTTGTGTTCCTGGCCCACTGTTGCATGAGGGAACTTCATTAGTGAGAATTGAGAGATTCATTAGTGTCCTTTTTACCCCTGTTCCATGTTCCATGAGACTTAGGTGTAGAGGTTGCACTGTAGATGTGTCACTTAGGCCTGAGCAATTCATAGACAATGTCTGCGTGTGACCAGTTGTGTGGTACTTGGTAATAGCCTCCAACTGGTGCAAAATAAGATTCTTTGATGAGTGGTGACTGGGATATTTATCAGTAAATATAAGGATACGTATTTTGCACATAGTAAGAAATTACATTAGTTTTGGGATTATGATAGTCTTCAGGTTTTCTCTGAGATTTATGACCACTTCAGCCATGTGTATTAGGCTATGTTTACACACTTGAGTTTCCTCCCATTGAGTGGGCTTTTAGTCCAATTAGGTAGCTGTTGATTGCCCCCAAGATGAAAATACTGCACCAGTGTCATATGCTGTGCTTATTGATGTGGTTATTTGGTCTTGAAGCTGGGAGGGGGGAGGAAGTGTTATACAAGGAACCTTAGGGATAAAGGGAAAAAGGAGCTCAAGAGAGGTGGGACCATAGGAGACTGGTATTATCAAGGGAGAATTGGGGAAAATGGGGACACTTTATATAGGGAAGCCATGGTAGAAGGGTTAGATAAACAATAAATAAGGGGGGACAAATAATGCCAGCTGGTTTTTTTCTTTTGTTTTAAAGTTTAATTTTTAATTAAATTGATGCTTAATATGCACATTTATAAGGCATTCCCTATGATAATTCAGTACATGTATATAATTGTAATAAGATGATCAAAGTAGTAAGCACATCCATTTCCTCCAAAGTTAGTAATGTCTATATGCTGTAAATTACATATTTTTCTGTTCCAATTATTTTGAAATATAGATTGTCAAAACCAATAGTTACCGTACTTTGCTATAGAAAATCAGAAATAATTCCTCCTCTTTCTTGTTTTTGTTTTCTTTCTCATTTCTTTCAGTCTCTGGTGACCACTGTTCCACTCCTTTTTTTCCTTGAATTTGGCTTTTTGTTTTCCACATTACCTCTAGTTCCATTCATACTACTGAAAATGACATGATTTCATTCTTACATCCGAGTAATATTCCATTCTATACATGTACCTCATTTATTTCCATTTGTCCACTGAAGAACCTCTTCTTGATTGTGTATCTGAATACACAATGAATAGTGCACTGTGAATAGTGCTGTAGTGAACATTGGTGTGCAGGTATTTCCATGGAGTCCAGAGTCTGTGGTTATAATTGTTCACTAGTCCTTCTTTCTATAGCCTTGTGTGACAGAGGAAGTTAGAAGAACATCCAGATTTTCACACCAACTACAGATTTGTTTCCATGTCTCCAGGTGAACTGTCTTCTAATGAGTGCCCTGCCTCTCTATCTCTGCCCTAAAATATCAACCCAACATTTGCCTAACCTTTGTCTTCAGTAATCAATTTCCATTCTCTAAAGGATGCATATAAAATATAAAGGCATGCTAGAACTCTCTGATCTTTATTAAGACCCTTTCTTGACAACAAATGGGTCAGGAGGCTATTGTCCACTGGCCACTAAAGCCATTTCTCTGCTCTCTTTGACAGAATTCTCTCTCTGCCTTTCCTCCCGGCATTCTATTTGAACTTGCTCCCATTTAGCCATCACTCCCACCTCACCACCAAAACTTCACTTGAAAGACTATAAGAGCAGGAGGAAGGATGGGATGTTAACTGGAGATGTCCTCCAACCACTGTGCCAGCAAGCTGTAGTCACACCTCCTTTCCCAAGCTCGTCAAGGAGTGATGGGGGAGTCAGTTATCCCTCCCACCCAGTCAGTCCTTAGCTGCAGATGGGGAGGGGGCGCACTAAGGATATATAAGCTGAGAACTCCATGAGGCACTTCTCTCGCCATTTTGTACGGCTGTCAGGAAGTCACAGGATCTGCATTTGAGTGTAGACTTTCCAATGCAGCCATTAATTGGGGGGTGCCCCCTCTTTTGTAAATAACCCCCACCCTATGCTCTGTTAGCAAGTCCAATAAACTTAAGATTAAAAAAAAAGAAAAGAACAGAGCTAATGGAAACCTTCATTATTCCACCAAATTTGACCCCATGTTGGCAGATCCTTTTGTCTTTGATTTCTTATTCCTATTTTCCCCCCTTAAACTTCATTGTATATATATTTTTGTGTGACCTGCTTCAAGTTATTTCTGGAAAAATGTGTTAAAAATTGCCTCCCTTTGGAATAAACAAACAAAAAAACCAAACAAACCAAAACTTAAAATAGAAAAAGATCATCTGTGTCAAAGCTGTTGCTATTGAAGTGAGCAAGGACTAGCTGGCTATTCCACACGTCGATGTGGTAGTCATTAATGCCTAGCTAGTTTTTAAAAACCAGAGGGAGTCATAGTCGAACAACCTAATGACAAATTACACATACATGAGGACTCTACATGAGTCCATATGCATAGCTAAAGGCTACATAACAAGAAACAATGCCAGACAGGAGAAACCTTCTGAATTGTTGGCCAGGGTGGTCCAAGAGACTCCCCAAATTACACAGATGTATTACCACAGTCTTTGATGGCCTCCCAGAACTTGAAGGTAAGACCCTCCTGCTGAAGACAGAACATACTTTGGACACCGGATTTGCAGCAGTAGAGCTGGAACTGACCTGGAAGCCACTTCTCTGAAGGCCAGCTCTCATAACTTTGGAGAGCACTATGGTGGTTCCAAGGGAAAACACCAGTCAGTGGTTTTTCATGTTTTATGACGGGAATCCAAAGTTTTAATGGTTTTTTTTTTATTTTGTTTTGTTTTGTTTTGTTTGTGCTTGGTTGGAATCCAGGGCTTTGTTGTACAGTCTGGGGAGGAGACCACTAACTACATCTCTCACTTGCCACTTTCTACATGATCTGCTGCAGAATAAGCAAGAACACTTTGTATAACTATGTATTGTACATCTAGAGTACTTAGGATGGCTGCTTTTCTTCCTTGAATAAGCCCTAATTTACTGGAAACTTAAGTTGATCTATCCAGCAAATGTCAAGGTCTGGGACTTGACAGTCCCACATCAGAATAGTCATTTTTCCTTCCTGAAATTGCTTCGTTCTTTACCTTATGTGGCACCAGACTTCCTTATTTCTCTTCTTTTCTGAAAAAGAATAGCTCAAGTGATGTTCCTCTGCCCTTTCCATACTGTGCCTTAGAAACTTCATCTATTTTTTTGAGTTTACCAGCCTCTCCCTTGTGCTCACAATGGTCTTAGTCACCTCTGCCCAGTCATTACACACTCCTATCAAATGGCTTAAGGCTCCTTCCAGTTTAATATGGGGGAAAATGGACTTTTTTTCACATTGCTGGTTTCTTTTCCTAACTCTTGTTAGTGATGATCTCAGCTTTTCCAGTACCTCACTTCGATTCTGTACCTTAAAGTCATCTTTGGTTCGGGCTTGCTGCTTCTGCTTTTCATGTCTAGGCTAGCAGTAAATATATTCTCATTCTCTCTTTCTCTCTCTCTCTCTCTCTCTCTCTCTCTCTCTCTCTCTCTCTCTCTCTCTCCCTCCCCCCCTCTATTTTTAAAAGTGTAAATGTTCTTCCTCTTTACAGGTGAAAGTATTTGAGTTGAGTTAGCTGGTGCTTAGCTTAAAGCAGTGCTTCTCAAACTTTAACTTATGATTGTTTAAGCTAGGTAGTTGGGTTTAATAGTAAATGATTATTGTAGGCTCTTTGCTTCTGGGATTTGATTGAGAGTTCCATAACAAAACGGCAAACTAGTCTCTCATTACTAAAGTCAATACAGTAACCCAGTATTAAATCAAGTGTTTGTATTTTTTAAAATAATTCTTTAATTTGAGACCCACGCATAGGCAGTTTGTTTCCTCCTGCTTTGGCCTAGATTTCCAAACCCTCTTTGAAGGTCTGTTGCCATCCAGCTTTGTTTTCATAAAATCCCTAGAGTGAGCTTGTTCCCACTTTTTCCTGTAGAACTAGCTCCATGCTTTAATTTAACATTTCATGCTTAACTTAGAAGGGCAGCCCTTTCCCTTCTGTGACTTCCTAATCTTTCAGGTCCCACCTTATCCTTTTGAAACTTTCTCTAGCTGTGCCAGATAAACCACTGAAATGATCTCTCATTTTTTACGAACTGCTGAAATTCTCTTAGTTTTTCCAGGATAATTCAGGTCTGTACTAATACTGTTCACTAATTGCACAGTGTGTTGATTTCTTCATAGCCAGAAAACTTGTGTTCCCACTGAGCCTAGCAGAATGGATGTACATAGCACCAACTCAGTAAATGCTGTTGATTGTTTAACGTGTAAATCTTTTGAACTAGGTGGAGAGGGAATGCCAAGAACATGTCTTAAATTTAGTATTAATCAGTTTCTCTTTCTGCATTTCAGGCTCGTGATGCGGAGAGTATAATGCTGAACCTTGCAGGACAGCTTATCATGATGCAGAGGGACAGGTCAGGCCCTCAGATCCGGGAGAAGGACAGTAACCCTAACCAGAGGAAACTTGTAAGTAAAGGTGCAAGTCCTTTCAAGCACTGAGAAGGTATGAGGGTTTATGAATAGATGAATTTAAGAGCATCATCTCATGATGCCCGAGAAAGCACATAAAATCCATTTTATAACTGAATTTAAGAAGAAGAGCAAAGAGTGAAGGATAAATCCTAAAATAACCTTTTTCAAGTCTCACATTTCAGATGTTAGGCATTTGCTGCTTAAGCACTTATTTGTAAATTTCAGTGGGAAAATAAAGCTAAATTGGTGAAATTCATAGGGTTTTGTTTGTAGATTTCAGTACATATACTTTGAAAAGCACTGTTATTATCTCTGATTCTAAATAAATGCCCTTACTTTTCCAAAAGCTCAATTTGAAAGCCTAGAAAGCTAGTACCTAAGAACTCAAGAACCTGCATACTTCACAGGAGAACAAACAAAAATCAACTTGTGTCTCTTCCTTCAGCTGCCCTTCTGTCCTCCTGTCGTACTAGCCCAGTCTGTGGAAAATGTCTGGACTACGTGTCGAGCAAGTAAACAGAAACGTCATCTACTGGAGGCCCTCTGGCTGAGCTGTGGTGGTGCAGGGATGAAAGTTTGGCTCCCTCTGTTCCCTAGGGATCACCGCAAGCCCCATTCCTTCTTGTCCCAGCGAATCATGCTGCCTTTCCATATCAACATTTACCCCCTGGCCGTTCTCTTTGAAGACGCATTGGTCCTTGGTGCTGTCAATGACACTTTACTCTATGATTCATTGTATACTCGGACCGGTGCCAGGGAGCAGCTGGAGGTGTTCTTCCCTTTCTGTGTTGTGGAGAGAACCTCTCAGATATACCTCCATCATATCCTCCGGCAGCTTCTGGTCAGGAATCTTGGAGAGCAAGCCCTGCTCCTGGCTCAGTCCTGTGCTGCATTACCTTATTTCCCTCATGTGCTGGAGCTCATGCTCCATGAAGTGCTGGAAGAAGAAGCTACCTCACGGGAGCCCATTCCCGACCCCCTGCTTCCCACTGTGGCGAAGTTTATCACTGAGTTCCCCCTCTTCCTACAAACAGTTGTACATTGTGCCAGGAAGACTGAATATGCTCTCTGGAATTACTTGTTTGCAGCTGTTGGAAACCCCAAGGACTTATTTGAAGAATGTTTGATGGCTCAGGATTTAGACACAGCTGCCTCCTACCTTATTATTTTACAGGTAACAGTTCTTATAAAGGGATAAAAATTAGTTATCTTAAACTTAGAAAAAAAAGAAATGTCCTGTAATTGTGTTTAGGGAATTGATAGTCGTATTTTCTCTATATTATGTATCTTTCATTTTGAAGAACTCAGACTTGTTAAATGGCTACAGATTTCCTTGAATTTTATAAAAAAGTAGCATTATAAAGATACTTTACTCTGTCCTGCTTATCCCTAAATGGGCCCCAAAAATAGATTAATCATCTCAGAGTATAATTTTAAATACTGCTGAAGGGTGTGTGTGTGTGTGTGTGTGTGTGTGCGCGCGCAGTTGTGCACATGTGCTATGGCATGCATGTGGAGGTCAGAGGACATTGATCCTTACCATCCACCTTGTCTAAGACAGGGTATCTCTTGCTTTCTGCTACCACATAAACCAGGCTAGCTGGCCCTGGAACTTCTGAGGATTCTTTTGTCTCCACTTCCCATGTCCTGTTAGGGAGTGAACAGGATTACAGACATGTGTACCACTGCACCAGGCTGTTCTACATGGCTTTAGGGACTCTGAATGCAGGTTATCAGGCTTGCAAGAACCCACTGAGCCACTTCCCTAGCAGAAAACCTTTTTGTTTTGTTTTTGTTTTTTGAGACAGGGTCTCCCTGGAGCCCCAGCTGGCTTAGAGCTCACTATGTAGACCAGGCTGGCCTCAGTCTCTCAGAGATCTCTCTGTCTCTGCCTCACAAGTTCTGGGATTAATGGCATGTACCACCACTCCCAGCCTGAAAGGTTTTTATTATATGTAATAAATATATATGATTTATATGTTCCATGAGAAAAATACTACATTAGACCACTAAAATGTGAGAAACATTGACTGTGAGAAAAGTGTACTTTGGACATTATTGCATTTGTCTGAGTTACCCACAATAATAGATTTATTTCCTTATATTGTGAAATTGCTGAAGGGATTCTGAATAAATCAGGCTTGTAATACAGCATCCTTCCATAGCCAGCTGAGAAAGCTCAGGCAATATAATAATAACCTTCATGACACATTTTTCTCAAAATAATGAACTGAGACCCTGAAAATTTGTTTCATAATATATTTGACAAAAGGGCTGGAAAGTTTGTTTGGCCTATAAATCTGACCCAGACTTGAGAGGCTGCACTTACAAGTTCTTTCATATTAGTGCAAAGTTGTTTTGTTTATTCAGAAATCTAACCATAAACCTAGTTTAAATCTCAGGCTGAAGCAGTTTTCCTATCAGCTTTTGCTTCCTGACAGCTGATTGAAACCAGAGGAGATTATGCAAGCAGAGACTAGTAGCCCAAAGTCTAGGATTCCATTTGCTAACCCTAATGAAAAAAGAATAACATAAATTATAAAAGTAGAGTCAAAGTGAATGCAGCTATTCTTCTCATTCTGAGTTACTCCTTAGACCTTCAGTGTTCTCCTTAGCAGAGGAATTGGAAGCTTCCTCTCCAGCACAGTTCCTACGTTGCTATGAATTAGCAGGTAATAAACTATAATCAGGCTCAGTCTGTTCAGCAGCTTGTCATGAAAGCAGACAGGATGTTAGGCTATAAAGAAAGTACTGAGGATGCTGAGTGTGTAGTAGTGCTACTTGACACTGCCCAAAGCAAAGACTTAATCATATCCTCAGAAAACTCTGTTATAGGAGACAGACCTAAGCTTTTCTGGTGTCAGACAAACATAGATTTATATCTTTGTTTTTCTGTTGGTCTTCAACAGTTGAGATAACTTGGTTTCTTCGTCGGTAAAATAGGAATGATACAACTTTGTAGTCACTGCAAGAAACAAGATCATGTATATGACATATAATGGGAATTCAGTAAACCATAGTATATATCATACCAGGGGAATGCTTGCTTCACTTTTCCCCAGATGGTACCTTTAATCTTTTTGTTTTTTTGTTTATTTTTACTTTATGTTTATGAGTGTATTGCCTGCATGTATGTAAGTACATCCATGTTGTGCAGTGCCCACAGAGGTCAGAAGAGGGCATCAGATCCCCCTGGCACTGGAGTTACAGACAGTTGTTAGCCACCATGTAGATGCTGGGAATCAAACCTGGGTCCTCTACAAGAACAGTTAGTGCTCTTAACTGCTGAGCCATCTCTCTAGCCCCCAGATGGCACTTTTAAATGTTCCTTTTAATCTTAATTCTTATAGCTTATTCCTTGAGCTTAGGTAGGTGTGGAGAAAAGAATTGTTAGTATCTTCCAAAATCATGTCATATAAAAGGAATGCCCTCTTCCTTGGTTGTTGTTGTAGAATATGGAAGTCCCAGCAGTAAGCAGACAGCATGCTACCCTTCTGTTCAACACAGCACTGGAACAAGGCAAGTGGGACCTGTGTCGACACATGATTCGATTTCTTAAAGCCATTGGTTCTGGAGAATCTGAAACACCTCCTTCCACACCTACAGCTCAGGTTAGTTGCACAGTTGTACAGCTTCTTTAGGGCACACACCCACAGGGCATCTGACTAAAAGTGTACTGCATTTTTGTGTAATCACAGGAGCCCAGCTCAAGTGGTGGATTTGAGTTCTTCAGGAATCGGAGCATCAGTTTATCCCAGTCAGCCGAAAATGTTCCTCCTGGTAAATTCGGCTTACAGAAAACACTGAGTATGCCATCTGGTCCTTCTGGGAAAAGGTAAAACTAAAGAGCAATTACTGTTTTCCAAGCTTCTCTGTCACATTGCATTTCAAGGCATTTATAAAAATTAAGCCTTAGAAGAATGATTTATTTCAGTTGCAGATTTTTTGTTATTTGCAAAAGACATAGAGACCCCACAAAAGACTTCCTTTTCTCGCTCTCTTTTCTGTTCCTTATTAAGTTCATTTCTGTTCCCTGTAATTTCTGTACCTTTGTACTGAAGTGGATCTGGATATACCTGTACTGAATATAATTAATGTGAAATTACTTCTGATGACAGAAGACCAGAATAAAGCCTTTGATTGGGAAGCCATTAGTCAGTGGGAGAGCTGAAGGACTTGGGAAGATGAAAATCGATATTGTACATGGGTCGGGTATCATGTCTGCAACAGTGGCTGCAAACTCAACGTGAACATTATCCTTCATGTTAATGATAAATCGTTGGTATTTCCTTTACTCTGTGAGGTCCTTGTATTTCTTCTTGTAAAACCTGTTCTTGGCTCTTTTTTTTTTTTTTTCCCCTCTTCCCCATTCTTACTAGAGTACTTTGCCCAAGAGTTAGCATGTTTTATTATATTTTACTTTCTTCTATCACTGGTTGTTAACACCCCTTCCCCAGTACGAACACACAGTAATCCTGAGCTATTTACCAGTGAAATGAAATCATGGAGGAATATCAACAAATGTTAGCCATACTCTGAATTTAAATAGTGGTTAATAATTTACCAAGAGCTCACTATGTACCTAAAACTATTCTGAGTTTATGTATGTTTAGATCTTAATCCTTGCACCTCTGTGAGGGTTGTTATTCACTGAACAAGGGAGGAAACAGAGACTCAGAAAAATACACTTGGCAATGCTCACACAACTAATGGGTGGTAGAGTAAAATCCTAATCCTGAAAGTCCTGTTTATGCCTGTAAGAGATGATAGACTATATTTAGTTACCATTAATTTTTACCAGTTTTATTTTCATATTGTTTGTGTAACTCACATTGAAAAATGTCAACTCCGTGTATCTCTTTTTAGTTTTTTTGATCTTACCTCTTTTTATTAGTCTTCCCATCCAGCATTTGTTTGCTCCCTTCAGCCACCCACTACTTTTTCCTGGTCTGGCTTTTTCTGTTTCCTGTTTATTTCTAGTTTATGTATTTATTCTACAAATTGGTCTTAAGAGATACCTGTATTTGGGGCTGGAGAGATGGCTTGGCTGTTAGGAGCACTGACTGCTCTTGCAGAGGACCCAGGTTCGATTCTCAGCACCCACATGGCGGCTACAAACTGTCCTTAATTCCAGTTCCAGGGGAATCCGAAGCCCTCTTCTGACCTCCGTGGCATTGCACGGGTGCACTCACATACGTGCAGGCAATACATTCATACACATAAAATAAAAATAATAAAATATTGTTTTTAAAAAAAGGAGAGATATCTGTATTCCAGGTGTTTAACCCATCTTGGTGTCATGTAGAGACCCCTGATGCTTTTTCTTCTTGTTCAGGCAGAATTAGATAATGGATCTCTAGCTTCCTTTTCAACTTTATCAATGCTAACTGTGTAGAGGTATGTGGAGTCCTTCAGTAAGGTCTGGTCTTCAGCTTTCTTCTGTTTCCACTATAGGTGGAGCAAAGACAGTGAGTGTGCTGAGAACATGTATATTGACATGATGCTGTGGAGACATGCTCGGCGTCTCTTGGAAGACGTGCGGTTAAAGGACCTTGGCTGCTTTGCAGCCCAGCTAGGCTTTGAATTAATCAGTTGGCTGTGCAAGGAACGTACCCGAGCCGCCCGGGTTGACAATTTTGTGATAGCCTTGAAGAGACTCCACAAAGATTTCTTGTGGCCACTCCCCATTATCCCAGCCTCTTCTATCAGTTCCCCTTTCAAAAATGGAAAATACAGAACAGGTATGAAGACTTAAGCAATTTTTGCAAAGCTTCTATTTTATTCCAGATATTTTACCATTAGTTGACATTCAAGGAAGTCTTTATTTCAAATTCAAGAAAATAAAAACCAACACCCATCATTTGGCCAAGGATATAAATGGGAACTATTATCTTATATGTCTCTAGGCCTTGAAGTCAAATATAAATCTAACCATTGTTAAAGTATAAACAAGTTGAGAACTGGCTGAGTGTAAGAGTCCCTGATATGAACTGAGTTAGTCATGAGCCTCAAATAAGCCGAGCTGTGATTGACCTGACAGAACTCACTCCAAGGAGATGGTAAAAAGGCATGTTTGGCACTTGTGCCATCTTCTAAACTTGGACAGGACAAAGTGAAATTGTGTTTGAGCCAAAGAAAAAGTTTTAAAATTCAGATCTTTTTTTTTTTTTTAATGAAGACTTTCCAATTATTTAAACAAAACTTTTTAATTATGGTATTTGGAAACTTTGAGTTCTCTTAAGAAGAAGGTAAATGACGTAGATCAAGACAGTATAGTGTTGCTTAGCTCCAGTAAGAGATGTGATATGGCTCTGAGATGGAATTATATGGTCAGTCTCTTCTGTAATTCCACATCCCTCATTTTGGTCAAATGATAGATACAGCTTGAGGGTGATGGGCTTTGAACTTGTAGTTACTGGGAATGGCAGTAAGTACATCTTGAATCCCCTATTTTTGTTTCTGGATCTACCCTGCAGTGGGAGAGCAGCTGTTAAAGTCTCAGTCAGCTGACCCTTTCATAAACCCGGATATGGATGGTGGCATATCTAATATCCAACGAAGTCAGAGCTGGCTCAGCAACATTGGTCCCACCCATCGTGACATGGACACAGCCTCATCCCATGGACCACAAATGCAAGATGCTTTCCTATCACCATTATCTAATAAAGGTGAATATTTAAGTTCTGTAGCTGTACTTGAGTTTCTTGGGAAAAAATTTGATATGCCATAGCCTGAGTACAGCCTCATTCTTCTTTTGCATCCTGACGGATTAGCCATTAGTATCTGCCTAGAGAGATAGATAAGGGCAAATGGGCTTTCAGCGTGCTGTGCAACATTTACTTCAGATATATGGAATAGGTGCAGTCTCAGTGCTAGTCAGCATTAATAGATAAATCTTTGCTATCAGTTTTTAAAATTTATTGTGTATATGTGTACATGATCTGGAGGGAGGGGTACATATGTGGAGATCAGTGGACAACTCTGTGGAGTTGGTTGTTTCCTTCCATGTGACTTGTGGAGATGGAATTCAGGTTGTCTGTTAGGCTTGCATCACCCAGGGGCAAGCTCTTTTGCCTGCCAAGCCATCATGCTGGCCCTTTGCACTCAGCTTTAAGAGGAAATACTCTTTGTCCAGATAATACTCTTTGAACTCCAAATAATAAGCAGAGTGTTATCCTCATAGAAAGAATTCTATTCTTAGAGTAAGTAATCTTGCACCATAAAAAATATACTACTAATCAGTTTTTTTCACCAAAAAAATACGGAAATTTGCTTTTTTCTCATTTTTTTTATTTATATAATTCCTACAGAATAACCTTCATTTTACCTCTTGGCCTTCAAAGCCTGAAATATTTACTATATGACTATATTTTAACATACATGCTGTATTTTAAAATGTACCCAACTTTTGCTGTAATATGCAAAGTACAAACAGAAGGGGTTTTGAAGCAATTTATGTTGCTGTAGAGTTAAAATATAGAAGCTTCAGTAATAATTTGTCTGTTGTTGTTGTTTTAGTACTGACGATTGAACCTAAGGCCTCGTACATGCTAAGCAAGCACTCTGTCAATCACTGTTACCAGAGCTTCTGATGTGTGAATCCTGTAGCTGTCATTGCTTTCCAGTTGTAAAATTAGAATGTTTTTCCAATCCAAGGCATTTAATGCATATTTATTGTTGTACTAGCTTAAAAAAAAAAAAAACCTGTTGTTCATAAAATGGCCATTTAAGCAGCAGATTGAATGTTTTCATTATGAAATCCTGAGAGAAATCAGCATTTCAGAAATAGCTACTATTTAAAATAAAGGAAAATGTATTTTCTACATAAAGGTCATTTATAACTTTTGAAAATTCTTCATCAGGTGATGAATGCAGCATTGGTTCAGCCACTGACTTGACTGAAAGTAGCTCCATGGTGGATGGGGACTGGACAATTGTGGATGAAAATTTCTCCACACTCAGTTTGACTCAGTCTGAGCTAGAGCACATCTCCATGGAGCTGGCAAGTAAAGGGCCTCATAAATCCCAGGTCCAGCTTCGGTAAGTCTCTTGGGTTTTTGAAAGCACAGAAGGCCTTACTAAGGAAATTCGTGCAGAGCTACTTTCTTAACACTTGGTACCATTTTGTTCATCAGCAGGTTTTTCACACAAATCATTTTATTGCTGCTTTATCTATAGTTATTTGCTGCACATTTTCATGGAGGCAGGATGTTTGGACTGGTGTGTTGTCATTGGTCTGATTCTCAGAGAATCTTCAGTAATCAGTCAGATTCTGGGTGTCACCCAGTCTTCAGAGGTGGACAGAGAGATGTTACAGAACATAAAGATGGGGCTACATGCTGTGGACCGATGGGCCTCTACAGACTGGTAAGTGCTGGTTTCCACAAACTTAGTATACTTTGATGAATGATGACTTTTCACATCAACACTGGTACAATTCATTCTTTTTTTTAACTTTTTAGGTTAGTGGAAATAATGCTTTCATATTTTTTGTGTTTTAAAGCTACTCTCTAACCATTGTATAGTCAATCATTTGTGTAATGACTATTAAGTAATTTATATTGTGGCAACATATGCTGACTTAAGATTGATGCTATACAAGTGATGACTGCAACTTAAATTTGTAGTCCTATGTAATTAAAGGTTATAACATAAAATCTTCTTTAAAAGATAAGTTACATGGCCTGTATAAATTTTACGGCTTCTGTGACAGTTACTAGCATTCCCAAGTTAAGAGAGTGGATGGAGGTCGAGGGGTCCTGGCTTGTAAGCAGTCATGTGGGGATTTGAAGCTACTTACTTCCCTTACTTAGACTAGTTCTCCTTAATTGGTAAAGGCACATAAGTTTGATGTTCTCCAAAGGGTCCTTTCATGAGTCTAAAATCCTGTTGTTCCTTATTTTTAATTGTGATACTAATTTTGAAATATCAGCCCTTGCCCTTAATGTTTAGAAGTCTTCCCTCCCTCATTTTCTTCATTGTATCAATGTAAGAGTTTATTTATAACACTCTACTTTGGGGGGGGGCGTCTGTGTAGAGGTCAGTTTTAGCTGCTGTTCCACAGGAGCCACCCACTCTGGTTTTCTGGGACAGGGTCTCTCACTGGGACTTGGGGTCACTAATTTGGCTAGACTGTTTGGTCAATAAGCCCCACAGGAGCCTATCTGTTCCTTCCAGTGCTGGGATTACAAGGGTGTTCCACTATACTAGCTTTTTATGTGGATGCTAGAGATTGAACTGAGACCTCATGCCTGCACAATAAACACTGTTGACTGAGCCATCTCCTCAACCAAGCCCTTTGAATTATGACACGTGACAACTAATTTTTTCCCCTTTATTTAGCCCTGGATATAAGCCATTTTTAAATATCATTAAGCCACAACTGCAGAAGCTCAATGAAATAACCGAAGAGCAAGTCCAGCCTGACACCTTCCAGCCAGTAACAGTGGGTAAGACTGCTGAACAGACCAGCCCCCGGGCAGAGGACAACAGGGGCTCTTCCAGCCATGGAGGCATCCCTCAAAGCGAGAATGGGGGTAGCAGCATGGTCAGCCGGAAAGAGGAGGACACAACTCAAACAGATGAAGATGAACCATTTCGGGATGGGGCTTATGACTGTTCTGTGTCCTGACAATGGTGAGCAACATCACAACAGGCAGTATTAATTAGCAGCAGCGTGCAACTGAGTACACTATGCTTGAATGATTGAACAGGGAAAAGAACTCGGGTCAGAAACTCTTTGGTAAAGTATTACATTTTAATGAACTCTTCCTATAAATCTCTTTGACTCCACAAAAAAAGTGATATCAAATAACACATCGTTCATAAGAAAATTTTAAGCTGCAGTAGAAGGGAATAAAGAATATTATATAGATGTAAGCATAGAATATTTTGGTTTATCCACAGGTTAGTAGCTCTTAGAGAAATTATTTTTCCCTCAGGTAGACATACTTTTACACCATGTAAAGCTTGTTTGCCATCCGGTATGTGTCTAGACTGCTGGTGTTTTGTTTTGGTGGGGTTTTTTATTTGTTTTTTTTTGTTTTTTTTTTTTCCTTTTTTCTGTTCTTTTAAATAAATGCTAAGGTGCTTGCTGTAGCTCATCAGGTACCTGAGCTACTTGTTTGCTTCCTTGGATAGAGTTTGAGGACTCCATAATTGGTCCCTTAAATAGATGCCTACCCTCACACAATATGGGGTCAGTGGATAGAGATCCTTTGGCTTTGCTACTCTGTTCACTGCCACCCTGGATTGATGGAAGCTATTTACCTGTGAGTTAATGTGCCTGTTTCAGCAAGCTTGATTCCTACTAGATCAGTGTGGGCAGAGGGTGAGGGGTTCTTATCAATTATGCTGACACACCACTAAACTATTTTGTATTAAAGACCTGAATCTTTTTGTGAATACTGTTAGGTAAATGTAAATATACTCAAAGACGCTGTCCATATTTTTAAGGCTTGTATTCTAATCTGTAAGGTTTCACGCTGGGTTCTGGATGACTGTCCTCACTGTTGGAATAAAGGCAAGACTTGTCCTTCTTTCCAAAATGAGTGGTCTGCGTAAAGGAAGAAAGGCATATTGGCTTAGTTGTAAAGTAACAGAAGTGGTCCCACTGATCATGAAGTGAAACAGGTTTTGTGCAAATTAATGTAGTTTCTTATTTATTGCTTTTGTAAATGGAATAAAAAATGGGCTTTTATGTAAATAGACTGTGGGATCCTGTATTATCACAGCTACTAAAAATTGGTATGTAAATTCTTCATTGTAAAGTTAAAGATATTTTATGTATTTCTAGACATGACAAATTTTACTTTTCATACATTATGAAAGCAGAACTACATATTTAATTGCTTCAGACTAAACACATATCCACTGTATGTAATTCTAATTAATAACAGTATTAATTTAGATAGCTTGTTTGTACTGTGCAATTTGAACAAGGAATGCAATGTTATTTTTTACAAAATCTTGTTTATTTTTATAATAACAGTATATTTGATGTGGACCAAATTCGTACCACTATGTAAAACAACCTCCCTTCTCATAGTGAAAATGTAGTTTAGGAATACAGCTCAGCCTTCTATTCTTCTTAAAGAGGTAGATCTAGTTGTCTTAGCCACCTTCCTTTACAGGAAACTCAAAATTGTTTTGAAATTACTTATTTCAAAATTCACCAACTATTTAAAATTACTGCATTTGGTAATTTCCTGTTATTTACTTTTTACTTTAGAAGTGCAATAATTTCACATAATAAAACTCCTGAATGGGTGAAATATGTGAATATTGGTACCTGGTCCTTCTGGTGCTACTTTTATTTAAGTCTTTGTCTCAAACCACCGACCTGTCTCTGAATTTTAAAATAGAAAATGTTTCCTACATAAGTACATTCAGTGCAACAAAAAAACTAAACTGAAATTTCTTCTGTCTTATTCCATTAGAAAGAACCAGCATTTCCTTTTGTATTTAGTCAATTTCTAGTGTGAATATTCAGTTAATAAAAATTACTTACCATTATGAGCAGCAGTGGTCTTTTCAGATGTCTTAAATAAAGCACTGTGCTGCTGAGTTATCTCATTTTGGGGTGGGAGTAGGGCAATACTGAGGATTGAACCAGGGCCTCTCCACATGCTAAGTAAGTGCTCCAGTGAGTTACATCCCTCTCCCCATTTTTTTGAGACAGGGTCTTGCTAAATTGCCCAAGCTGGCCACCATTTTGTAACTCCTCAGCTGCCCTAGTCTCTAAGATTATAAGCATGCGCTACTATGCCATCTCACAATTGTAAAAGCAGGGTACCAATTAGTTAATGTTACTCCTATGGTTTAGGCTGGGAATGAATTTTTCATAAAATAATGTTCAACTAGTAGAACGAGGAAACACCCAGGCAATAAATTTGACAAGTTTAAGAAAATTTCTTTTTGATTGTTACATCATTTTTGTAAGGATCATTGTGCTGTATTGTTTGGTTCAAAACTCATCAACTGTATAAGCCATATTTTAATGAAGTTAAATATTCAGCATAACTATTTGAAGGTTTCTATGTACATTTAAGTTACTTGCTAACACCAAAACAAATCATTTGGAGATTAAAAAAAAAAAAAAAAACCTTTGCTTGTAATTAAAGTTGCTGCTGCTTCTGTAATGTGTATTTTCCCCCCTTGGTAAAGGGTAATAAAATCATTATGTAAACTTGTTTATCTCAGGTTAATAGAAAAAAGTATATGTATATTAAATGCCACAAAAATATTTCCATCAAAAATTCAATAAAAACCTCAAAAAAACCCAAAAATGAAATCATATTAAGTCAACTGAATATCTATACAAAAATTAACTTAAAATTGATGTGCATTTATCATGAGAAAACACTTTAAAAGACACCAGTAAACTCTTTGAGATTCATTTTTTTTTCATTTTTCACTCCAAAGTTCTTCTGAATGAAATAGCTAGAAATTCAGACAAATTTATTGAAATGTTTGTATGTAGATATAGAATGGAAACATCACAGTGGCTGCTGACAATATTAGAAGAATAGTTCCTAACATGGAAATATTCACAGTAAAGAACTGATAGAAAAGTATGCATACTATAGGCTCACTCAGCAAACAGAAGGGTATAGACCAGACAGCTTCTCCTAACACTGTGAACATTCATATATTAGTAATTCTATTTTTTTTAAATTTAATAACCACATGATTAGAAGAAACATTTCATTACAGCTTTAACATATTCGATAACAATTTCCAGAGCAAGCATACATCTCTTTCAAAAGTGGCTGTACATTTTTAGGTTCACAGTTGAATTAATACAGTTATACAATATTGAACTCAGTATAAACTGGTAAGACATAAATTTGAATGAGTTTTTAACCTTTAAAAAATATCTCCATTTCATTTTAAAATATGTTGTTCCTACAGACTCAATTTTAATGCTATTAACGCTTAGATGTTTGCACATGTGACTCTAATCTCTATGTATCTGATTATAACTAGTCACATCACAGTCGGTTACACTCGGATCCTTGGCACCTGAGTATGGATATAAAGTCATCAGGTAGATTTCAATGGTAATGTTTATCCCCTCTACTAATTAACATGAAGTAAATGTTTATGATTCCTCCTCAAATATAAGTCATTTCTTAAATTTGTTGATTTGTGTGTGTGTATATCATACAGAACATCCCAAACAATCTTATTCATCTATATACCCACTTCCCAAATGGCACCCTCCCATAGCCTCCCCCACACACATTGGAGCCCATATACTGTGTCATCTCTGTTATTGACCACTGTGTTGTTGGCACCCCTAGCCATTCTCCAGTGCTTGTCCAACTACTGAATCTAGTCAGCCTACCTAGAGATCCTTGTTTTAGGAAGATCAGCTGTTCCTCATCTAGCAACAATCAGTTGTTAATATTCCTTTAGATAAGATTGGGGTCTCCTGTCCATTTTCCCAGTTCTATGCTGGGTTACTGTCAAGGAGTCTCTTGTACCACCTTAGCCAGTAACTCAAAGGAAGGTATCTCCTGTCTGGCATTGTTTTTTGCTGTGTAGCCTTTAACTATACATATGGACTCTTGAAAAATTATATTGACCCCTTTAATCTTTGGTTATACTTTCCTTTTGAGTGTTTAAGACCCTACAATTGGCCCGGATAAACCAATTTATTTTTACTCTTAAGGTCATTTGAGGATCTGTTCTTCAGGGGTCACATGGGCTTCAGAGGAACCCCTGGCTCCTTTCTTTTACCAGTTCCATCAATGTGAAGATAAGTCAAATGCCCTACTCGACCATGGCTGGCTTCACTTGGAAGCATGGAGGAAATGGTACCTCTATGTTGACCCTCTTTGTACACTGGACACTGGTCCAAGTCCATCTGGTGGGGTCTCCACGGCCTCCGTGATCAAGAGGACAGGTGACTCACCACAGTTACAGGACATTTTGAGAAATGCTCCATAGTCCCCTGGAACATAGTCAACCTAGGAGGGCAAGGAGTAAAAACTGTCCTTTATGTCCCTCTGACCAAATTAGTATAGGCCTCAAAGTATGTTTGTTAAGCATCCAAGAAGGTTAGTTCCACCAGTCTGGTACTTTTAATTATCATGTGCCATATAGATAAAGCTTGGGTAGAGACCAGACGTTCTCAGATAAACCTTGCCTAGACATATATTCTTTGATTTAGTTGTATGTATGATTTGTCAGTAGGTTGTTGGACTAGTATGGTTCCCTCCGTTTTTTTTTTTTAATGCTTTGAAAAATTGTTTTAATCATTTTTTAAATTTAATAACCACATGATTAGAAGAAGCATTTCATTACAGCTTTAACATATTCAGTAACACACTACACAGCAATGATATATCTCTTTCAAAAGTGGCTGTAAATTTTTAGGTTCACGGTTAAATGAATACAGTTATACAATATTGAACTCAGTATCAACCCTGTAAGATATAAAATTGAATGTGTTTTTACCCTGTAAATAAGATCTCCATTTCAAGATATGCTGTTTCCTACATTTTTTAATATTATTCTTTAGTTTTTTTTAGAAGAAGCATATCATTACAGCCTTAACATGCCCAATAACAGTTTCCAGAGCAAAGACAAAGCTCCTACAAAAGTGCCTATAAAATTTCTAGGTTCGCTGTTGAATCAATAGTTTTACAATATTGAACTCAGTATAAGCCCTGTAAAACATAAAATTTAATGAGTATTTAACCCTCAAAAAAGATGTCCATTTCATTCTAAAATATACTGTTTCTTACAGACTCACTGTTTTTGCTACTAATGCTGAGACGTTGGCTCATGCATCTCTAATCTGTATGTATCTAATTATTACTAGTCATAATCATTTGCACTTGGATCCTTGGCACCTGTGTATGTTTATAAAGTCATCGGGTAGATTTCAATGGTAATGTTTATTACCTCTACTAATTAACTTGACATAAATTTTTATGCTTCCTCCTCAAATAGAACTCATTTTTAAAATTTGTTGATTTCTTTTTGTGTGTGTATATCACACAGAACATCCCAAACAATCTTATTCATCTATACACCCACTTCCCAGATGGCACCCTCCCATAGCCACCCCCGGGGGCCCTTTTACTCTGTCTTCTCTGCTGTCTGCTGTGGTGTTGGCACCCTCAAACATTCCCCAGTACTTGTCCATCCTATATCCATACACAGGTGCCAAGGATCTGAGTGCAACCAACTGTGACTAGTGATAATCAGATACATACAGATTAGAGACACATGTGCCAACATTTAAGTGTTATTAGCGAAAACAATGAGTCTTTTTGTAAGAAACAGTATATTTTGAAATGAAATGGAGATCTTTTTTAAAGGTTAAAAACTCACTAAATTTTATGTCTTATAGGGCTTATACTGAGTTCAATAGTCTATAACTGTGAACCTAAAAATTTTATAGCCACTTTTGAAAGAGATGTATCTTGGCTCTGTAAATTGTTATTGAGTATGTTAAAGCTGTAATGAAATGCCTCTTCCACAAAATAAAAAATAAATTAAAAAAAACTTAACCTCAACAAGTGGCTGAAGAGATGTCTTGGCGGTTAAGAGCACTGAGTGTTCTTGCAGAGGACCTGGGTTCAATTCCCAGCACACATGTGGTGGCTACAAACTGAAAAAAAAA